CAAAAACCATCTCTTACAGCAATGATTGACAACTAGCAGAGCTCCAGGTATATGGCCCACGAATGCATCCCATCCAGCCTGTAAAGTACTAAATTATTTACAAATTATGAACAATCCAATGTGGAAGTCTGCTGTAGTGCGATCTTTAAAGTTCACATTGTAGAGCAAAAAGACAGGTGGTTTGGAGAACAAGCCAACTTTGCCAAAAGAAAACAAACAATAAACAAGAGATTGTAAATTCAATGCCATCTAATCCCTAGAGTTCTTTGCAATTCACACCTCCAAGAATGTTAGCACATCTTGTTTGTAGACCAGGACAACAAAGACTCTACTGAACTCCAGGAGGGAGGAAAGGGTTTTAGAGTTTTACACTAGTTTTGATCAACGAAGCCCTCCTCAGTTAAAAAGCTCAAGAATCCGCACCTTTATGTTTGACCTGAGAACGCTCCTCAAATGAGGATCAAAAAGTCCAGTTGTTTTTATGATCTCACTGGGCTTACCATCTCCTGAAGAAACGTGTCCAGCATATTCTAAAAGAGCTAATGACAACAGTGTCTGGGTTTACTCAAGAGTTCACACAAAATGTGATGCTGAAAATGCTGGACGGTGGGGAAAGACAGCAGTAGCACAATGTGTTGCCGAATGTAGAAGAATAAATTATCTGTCATTGAGTAGGGGAGCAGGCTGCTCAGTAAGCAGACGGATGTGCTGGTTCAATTCCAGCCTGGCCTCTGTCAGACTGCTCTAGGGCAGCTGTGGCTATAACGCTGTTTCCCATCACCACCAGAGTGTGAAGGAATAATGGAATGTCGGTAGAGTTTGAGTCCATGAAATACACTGTATACAATTATTATTATTATTATTATTATTATTATTATTATTATTATTATTATTATTATTATTACTACTACTACTACTACTAGTAGTAGTAGTAGTAGTTTTACCAACAGCATTATTAAAATGATCATTGCCTGTGCCCTGTGTAGTGAGAGTTCAACAGCTGAATTAGCGTGCCACTGTAAGACAATAATGCTGCAACAGTAGGTGCCGAGTTAATACGTTGAAATGAGTCAGCCTGAAGCTAACAAATTAGCATCAATGAGCTGAGCAGTGATTAGCGGCGTTATCATCCACTGTTTTAAAGTCAATTTTCTATTAAGTATATTAGCATTTGGAGCAGAACTGCACTGCAGATGGGTTAGCTGTTAAAATAATTGTTTCCATGTGTCAGTCTAATGTTGCTACCCTGTCTACACAAAATACTGCTTTTGGTAATTCCCTCAGACAATAGTGCTATCACACTCAACTTTCTATTAGTTTTTTTCATAATCTGATTTAGCATTCATTAGTTTTATTCAAATTTAAAACCTAAATCTACCGATAACAAAAAAATTGCTAATTAACCAGAAGGATTATGGTTACCAAAACTGTTACTAATCAAACAGCTGGCCTCTAAACAACTTGAAAAACCTTCTGATCTTTGAGAACATTTTTTATAACGTTTGATATAAAATGTTATTTTTTTTTCATCTTACAAAAGAAAAGCTTGAACGGCTTAAAAAGCTTATAAGAACATTGTCCTTGAAGGTTTGAACAAGAAACCAAACAGCTTTTTATGGAAACATTAGAACTACTCCCAGTGTGACTTCATTCTACACAAAAACAGTTTTTATCATAAGTAATGACTTGTTAAACTGTAAATTATACCACTTAGAATATCTGAATTCACAAAGCTGAATAAAAACAATAATCAGCCGAGCCTTTATGAAGGACAGTCATAGTAAGCATTCATTAGTGAATCTCTACCAAACAGAACAGAACCTACAGGTTTGTTTCTGTTAATGGATGACTGATGAGAGCAGTAATCTAAAGACAAATTAGCCTTTTGAGAATAAAAGCAAAGAAATGTTTGGGCAATTGACAGAGCAGAGAAGGAAAGGACATCACCAGTGGGTGCTTTCCTGGTTTAATGCATTCCTCTTGCTTGTTATCACTTAATAGCCTTGTCTACTGTTTCTTTGTAAACTGCATTTCATTCATCTCTATAATGAACCCCCAAAACTCTGCTGAAGTAACATATATGTTGTATTGATTAGTAATGCACAAACACTAGCACACATAACCACATACCTTTAAGGGCTAGACATAAAAGCATGTAAGAAATGGAAATTTCTCCTTAAGGTGGTGACATTTTGCTGACTGAAGCATTGATCTCAGGTAAACACATCTCATATATGTTTATTCACAAGTGGTGGGGAATGATCAGGTAAATGCCAGCACTAACAAAGGTCGCTAAACAAAGATAGGACCAGAAAAGGGAATTCTAAGTCATCTTTTAAAGTGTGGAGTTTCCATGATCTAATTACCGCATTTCATGAATACATAAGACAAGTTCGTAACAGCCATACCATATTCCAATTTAAACAGTGAATTTATTAAAGGTGGCTACTAGTATTGATCAAATAAACTGTAAAAAAAGGCGGTCAGATTAAAAAACTTCAACTAGAGCCTTCAGCTTAAAACACAGAATTTGACACATTTTGAATAAATTTTAGCCAATGGCTAAAGAGTAAGATACTACGTAAACCAGTAGAGTACTACGTAGCAGCTCTTGTGCCAAAGTTATAAAGCAACGAGAGTATCGGCCACGCCCTGTGGCGAGTTGGGAGTTGGATTTGCAAGCGAGCGTCGGACGGTTAGCGTAGTTCAGCATTAGCATATATCATTAGCATATTCTAGTCTTTAGCATAGCTTTTAGTGTTATACATACTTATTTAGTGTTAGCTTGGCTGTTAGATATTGTAGTTTAGTTAGTGTTTAGCTGTTAGTTTTATTAGGAAAGTAATTCGGGTTTAGTGTTCCATATCGTGTTAGTATGGTTAAAAGGTGTAGTGTAGTTGGTTGTGGTAGCTCTGTGGGGTTGCACTCCTTTCCACTGGACTTTGAAATTAGGCGCCAGTGGTTGCGCGCAATCGGTTTACTGGAAAACAGTCAGCTCCCGCCTGGTGCTGTAGTCTGCAACCAGCATTTTACCCGCGATTCCTTCGCCAACATGATGGAGTTTGAACTGGGTTATTCTGCACGTCTCCGTTTGAAGAGGGAGGCCGTGCCCACCGTGGCTCTTCCACGAATTAGATGCAGCCCACGACTCTGCTCCCCCACCATGGCGGGCTCCAGTCTGAGGTGAGTAAGCTAAATAAAAGTTAACATCTTCTAAAGACAATTTCCTACCTAAATGCAAAGTTTGAGAGACGTGGTTCACTCCATTTAGCTAATATCAGCCTGCACTGCCTTCGGGCTAATTTGTCAAGTTCACAAAATGTGGAACGGGATGTAAGGTTAGAATCAGCGGCGAATCGGAACATTTCTCAAAGCCCTGGCCGACAAAAAGGTCCACTTGACTATTTCTGTCAGGCTCGGAGAAAATTCGGGTTGTTTTTGTGTCAGTCGGTAATTCAGCAACAGTGGCTCTAACGCAGCACTAGTTGACAGACAGCATTACAGTGTGAAATCCAGCTTTACACCAAAGCCTAACCCGGTTCTGTGAGGAATTCTGTTCAGGAGGTCGCATTTCAGGTTCTTCACATTATATGTGACTGACTTTTACATTATAATAACGATCACACACTAGGAATGTTATAAAGCGCTTATATATATATATATTTCGGACAGTTTCTTTTGTATATTATATGACTTTATAAACTCCAACAACAATGTATTTTTTTTCAGGCTAAATCTACCCAAGACGTTGGCTGTCAGACTGATTTAGTAATCTGCAAAAATGCACTTGTCCAGGCTCATGTAAAGCCTTATCGACGTAGCAAAGGTGAATTATTTTTAATAATCTTCTATGTAAACATTTTATTATTACCTTCTAGTTTTTATTTGTTTTGCAGATTATTGTTACACATGATTTTATGCTCTTTTAAACATTTATAAATGTGCTGCTTCTTTGTATTTTACATAGCCACACAGTTTAGAGCTCCCAGCCGCAGTGTGTCTTGTGACACAGGGACCGTGACGGAAATTCATCTTCCACAAAGTCCCAGAGCTGCGTCCACACCCCTGAAAAGACCACGATATGAGGTGTCTGTTGTTGATCCCAGCTTCCACCTCAATGACAGTGCAAGCTCAGTGAACTGTTCAAGGTAAAAAAAAAATTATAACATTTTAGAATTTTTTAGTTATGACCATATATATAAATGTATGTGTTCTATACAGCTCTTTCACTGAGGTCCATCCACAAAAGGACAAGAAGTACATTGTTCATGAGAAACAGTTGCTGGGGCTGTTCAGAAGGTGTCCCGTTTGTACCGGTCGTTGTGTTGTGAACACGACAACAGTCGGCACACTGCTCCGTGTGACACAACGGTGTTCATGCTGTGAGCACTACAATGAGTGGTCCAGTCAGCCTATGGTGAACAGCATCCCAGCAGGAAACCTCCAGCTCTGTGCTGCTGTCCTTTTCACAGGCTCATCATTTAGCCAGATTTCTAAGGTATAGGCAAAAACTGTTTAGGTTAGTTTTGATAAGGTCTGTGCGTCTCTCATTTCATGACGTAACTTTTCATATTTTAGTTCCTGGGTGCCTTCAATGTGCAGGGACTGTCCAAGCAGACATTCTGTCGGCGTCAGGCAAAGCTGTTAATTCCAACAGTGAGCTGGCAGTGGCAGCTAGAGCAAGCTGATATCATCCAGGAGGCTACTGAATCTGGACCTGTGACTCTTGGTGGTGACATGCGAGCTGATTCACCTGGTGAATACGTTTAAATTTATTTATTTTATTCCTTTGCTATCAAATGTAAATTAAGTAATAACTTGCATTTCTTGAAGGACACTCAGCCAAATATGGCAGCTACACCATGATGGATCTCAAAAGAAACAAAGTGATTGATATCCAACTCGTACAGGTACAACATTACCTGATGATTCCAATGCATTTCATGGTTAATTATTCACAGATCAATGGAGAATTATGTTTATTTTCAGAGCAATGAAGTTGGAAATAGTGTGCGAATGGAGAAGGAGGGATTTGTGCGAAGTCTGAGCACACTTTTGGAGAGGGGGGTCGATGTGCAGCAAGTCGTGACTGACCGCCACACAGGAGTGCAGAAGTATTTGCGGGAGGAAAAAAAGGAAATCAGTCACTACTTTGACCCCTGGCACATGGGAAAAGGTAATCTTTGGGGATGTATATAGTTAATATTACAGGATTTTTTTTTCTATTTTAAATGTGGGTCTATTTTGCTCTCCAGGAATTGGTAAGAAAATCGAAGAGCTGGGGAAGAGAAAGACGACCCAGGATGTGAGACTGTGGAAGCAAAGTGTGGTGAACCACCTCTACTGGTCAGCATCCAGTTCTTCCTCAGGACAGGAGGCAGTAGCAAAGTGGACTTCAGTTGCCAACCACATCCAAAATGTGCACAGCCATGACAACGCCCTGTTCCCTAGCTGTCTGCATGCACCTCTGGATGGAGAACAGGCAAGACAGTGGCTCAAACCAAGTAAGTGTAGCATGTACTCATTACAGCTGAGCCTTTACTGTTTGATTTCTTTACATTTAGAACATGTCACCCCACAACAGAATATTTGTCTTCACCTCCTTCAACATGGAGAAATATTTTTGGAGCATGAGAGTTACAGACGTCACATGTAGCTGCTAAGGTCACACACCACCATTTGGCCAACAGCAATTAATTACTAAGAATAAAATGCTGTGCAGAAATTTAAACACAAGAGTGAGCCACACAACTCATGGTTTTAGGCAGAACAGCCATAATTGACATAATATGTACTAAAATGCCATAAGTAATGACCACACCTGTCTACAGCACTATTAGTCACTCTTTCATACATTTGTCATCTAAAAATGTCAGCTATGGGTAACTTTTTCTCAATGAAATAATAGCAACATTCTAAAGTTGATCAAATTGTAATTTTTGTAATTAACATTTTCTACGTAGGCACAGCATCATGTGAGAAGCTCACTGCCATTCTGTTAGCTCCACGGTTTGTGAAGGACATAGAGAAGATAAGCCCTCAGTACCACACATCCACCTTGGAGGCTTTCCACAGTCTCTTCATCAGATTTACTCCAAAAAGTCAAGTCTTCTCCTTCAAAGGAATGCTGTCTAGGTAATGAATACAACAAATGTTCAAATTAATGCCTCTAATTGTTCAAATTTTATCATGAAATGTAGAATTTTGCCTCAAATCTACATGGTTTGTTTATTTGATTTTTTCAGATTACAAATTGCTGCAATGCACTATAATGAAAATGCAGCATGCTCACATGCAGCAACAGCAACTGGTGAGCTGAGATATGCTGTAGTGTACCCAAAGTACAAACGTGGAGACTACACAGTGAGAGCCCTGAAGACCAATCCAACCTCATGTATGTCATATATTGTATGATAAAACCAAAATGATGTCATGGAGAGCTATTGTAATACTGAAAACCCTTTTCCAGTATATGTGCACAAGCTTATGGACCTGCTGTTCGACTCTGTGGTGGTGGATCCTCTCCCATATCAGGAGTACTCGGACAAAATTACGGTTCCAGAACCGCTCTGTGCCCAGTTCCAAAGACCAGATAAACGGGATGCTGTGAGCAGGCATAGGTCCAGGTTTTAAAGTGCACGTAAGGTGAGCTACACAACAAGAGATTGTAATTATTAGTTAGTATTCTACTCTGTGTGGTTTTTCCTTTTCTCCTCCTCAGCCAGGCTGCTCACCACTGTACGACAGAGGAGTTACCTGTCGTCATTATGGATCTTTATGCTCATCCACTCGTGACTCATGCTGTCCACCTCCCAGATGTCTATTGATCTCTACAACCTTTCTGCTCTGTGGCTCCCATACAACTTGAAAATCTTGGCCGTATGTAACATAGCAAAACTCACCAGTCTTGCTTTTGTAAGTCATACTAGTCATACTAATATTCCTTTTTCCTCAGAGCCTCCTGATCTTGTAACAGAAAAACCTGTGCTCCCGGGATCCATCTCCACGTTTGTCATCACAGTGAAAGCTACCTCCAGTCTAAGGAACCTATGAAACATCACTGTTGGCCCAACCTCTCCTCACATGGCTCCAGAATCTCTGCTTGTGGTTTAGTTTTGTCAAAAATCATGAAAGTTATGATCAGATTGTAATCTAACATTGTCTTAGTAGTAGCTATAATAAATGTTATCTTTGCAGCGCAATTGTGTCTTTTTAAATACAATTATATTGATATTTTGATGTGTATAAATACATATATCACATTTATTAAATTATCATTCATTTTTACCTAATTGAACCTGCTCTAGAATAGACTTCATTAATCACACAAGGTGTAAACTCACTTGTTACAGCAGCATTAATTAACCCCGAATTAGAACCTTACTGTTGTAAGAGCTCATTTGAAAAGTGTGTGGCTATATGTGTGTATATATAAATAATGTCAAAGTGTAAAGAAGTGCATTTACCGTTTTGTGATTTATGCAGCTTTTTATGGACAGGAATCAATACAGGAAATATATATTATAACATTTATTTAATCCAAAAAATATATATTAGTTCAGAGGAGGGAGGAATCCTTTGTATGCACCGTCTTCTGGGAACTCCTGCCTTATTCTGGAGACAGCGCATGATGGGATCACAACACGAACGTGTTGTCCCAGGTAACCCCAACACCACCTGACCACATTCCGGTACGCCAGATGTCTGTAACAGCTGAGAAAGAGGTGGTATGAGTTATAAGGTATTCATAAAAAAAGTAATTTGACAGTTGTCTTACCTGTTGAGCGTAGTCTCCTGCATCTCCCCATAGAGTTGCAGAAAGGTGCCATAAACTGCCTGCAACACGTAGGGATTCAGAGCAACAGCCTCAAAACCAGGATGCTCTGTTATGCAGGAGGTTACACCCACCTGCTGACACCTGAGCATTACCTATGACAAAGAACAACTGATATCAGGGCTATAAGAGTTCAATATTAGTATGATGTTAGTGATTGTGTAACAAATGTGTACATTACAGAATGCTTTTCTCATGGTGGGGTACTTTTATTTTTATACCTTGGGCGTTTATCTGCAGCACACATTTTCTCTGGCAGGCAATGATGTGCAGTGGCCGCAGGTGCACCTGTTGAGGCAGTCATACAATATTACTTTTAGCTAAGCTAAATATAGCTAGCTGTGGCTAAAAGCTACTTACCACTCAGAGACTGGACCCATTCGATGCCTTGATACTCCTGCTGGCTCGACTCCAGGGGCCTCTGACAACTCACGAGCTAGTGGCTCAAAAAGATACGGTTCAGGACCGCTTGCTTCCCCCAATAAGCCCTCCTCCCTATCCTCTGGGGAAGAAGGTGGGGAAAAGTCCTCCACCTCGAATGACTGCTCTGAGCTAGTGTCGCTCTCCGTCGCCATCTGTATTCAAATTTCAGTATGTCAATCACGGCCGTAGCTCCGCCTTCTCGGTCTTACAGGAAACGCCTCTTTGGGCCACATTTTTCAAATATGAAATGTGGGTGGAGTAAGACTCTGAGGAGGCTGTTACCACTACTTTAAAGAAAAATACGGACAACAAGGAACAAAGGACTTCCGCCGTTTGGAACAATTACATCAGAAACACGCACATCTAAGGAACCACCTTCGCTTCAATTTAAGATGCTGGGACGAAAACATCACGCCAACAAGTCTACAGCTGAAAACACCAATCTGGACCATGACAGCACAGAACATAATGGAAAGAACACCGAGAGCACTACTCAAAGAAAGGATGAGAAATGTCGCAACCAAACAGAAGCAAGTGGATAACGAACTGGAAAGAAGACACCTGGACTTAAAAAGGAATTGCCGTAATTTCCGGACTACAGAGCGCACCTCAATATAAGCCGCACCAACAAAAAAAAAGGTTTTCTACACACACACGCCGCACTCAAATACAAGTCGTGGCGCAGCAGCCACATGCAGGTCTCCGGCGCACAGCGCATGTATGGCCATAACACAAGATAATTAGACAGAAAGACGCTACACGGAGGTTTTTCGTTATTGTTTTAATTCAACAAAACAAATTTTAAACACGGGTGAGCACTGATAGCATTCATATTTCTGGATGGTTATAAAATAAAAACAGAACTGACACATTATTACCGGTAATTTGCATGTTTAGAAGAAAAGAACAGCGCTGACACAGCATTGATAAGCCCCGGATGATTACAAAATAAAAACTGCACACAAAACATGCCTGGTTAGTAAATAAAACACACTTGCCTACCAGAAAAAGTAATTCGCTCTCATCTTCCTCTTGCGCACTAAAGCCATTAAAGTCCTCTTCTTCAGTGTCGGAGTTGAACAGCCTCAGAAGAGCTTCGTCACATACCTTTTCTGTGGCGATGTCAGTGTCACTGTCCGTGTTGCTGTCATCATCCCGGGTGAAGCTGGCTTGAATGAGTTCTTCCCGCTGCCCTAACCCTAACCCTACCCTACCCTACATCAAAGGCATAACAGAAAAAAATAAGAGCAACAATGAAAATACACAAAATAAACACACCAACAAAACCATACACAACAGTTAGAGACAGACTAGTACACACAAAAGACAAGATACCAGCTGGACATGAATGTGGAGTCGTTTACAAAATCCCATGCAATCTCTCCAATAATAAGCACATAGGAGAAACCAGACACCAACTCAACACACGAACAATAGAACATAGAAAGGAGTACGAGAAAGAAACAAGTCGAAGACACACAAAAGCAGCAAAACAAGAAGCAGAAAGCACAATAAAGAAGTCAGCCATAACAGATCACTGCACAAGAGAAAACCATATAATGGACTGGGACAACACAAGGATCATAAACATAGAACAACAGAAATACAAAAGATGGATAAAAGAAGCCATAGAGATAAGGAAACGTAGATGTGGGACTATGAACAGAGACGATGGGGTCTACACATTGGATTGCGCATGGGACTGCATCATCGGAGAGGTGAGAGCAGGCAGCAGAGGGTGACAACGTCCTCTGCTGCCCGCAGATAAATGGAGTATGTTAATGTATTTAGCAGACGCTTTTGTCCAAAGTGACTTACAAGTGATAATCGGCATGTTGCCCTTGAGGCTAACAACAACAGCAACAAACAATTTCCAGTCAGTCGTAGGTGGCAGTGAGGCAGCATGATGAATCATGGAGAGTAGGGAACAAGGAGTGGACAATAGAGAGGGGGGACGGGTGCAGGGAGCGTGCTAGTTTAGAAGATGCTCTCTGAAGAGCAGGGTCTTCAGGAGTTTCTTGAAAATTGAAAAGGAAGCCCCTGTTCTGGTAGAGCTTGGTAGGTCATGCCACATTTGTGGAACGATGCATGAGAAGAGTCTGGATTGTCCTGAGCGTGGTGTAGGCACTGCTAGCCCACGATCCTGTGATGACCAGAGCGGCCGGGCCGGGACATAAGCCTTTGTAAGAGGATTCAGGTAGATGGGAGCTGTATCATCTCTGACTTTATATGCTAGTGTTAGCAATTTGAATTTGATGCGTGCAGCTAGCGGTAGCCAGTGGAGCTCAATTAACAGAGGGGTGACATGTGCTCTTTTTGGCACAGTGTCAGAAAGAAACTGAGCGAACCGCGACGGGAGTGCAGAGAACCAAAGGGAGGAGATAGTCTGATCCATGGACGTCACTAGGATTGAGAGATAGGGGGGCTTAGCCCCAGGAGCTTGACCTTGAACATTTTTTGTCACACCCTGCAAAATCTTCATCAATTAATTCATTATCTGAAGAACATTTAACAAAACCTGTAATTTTATCACTTTCTTTTCCTTTCCTACCTTTGTGCATTTTCTCTTCTTTTTATAAAAAATAACACTTAATCAGTTCATTAGTGGGGTCTATGTTGAAGAAAGATTTTATGTAAGTCCTTTAAAAATTAGATATGTTATATTTCCAAATAAAGCTATTCATTTCAGTCTACTGCACTTAACAGGGGAAAATGTTGTAGTCATTTATTTAATTTGTTCAATTACAACTTGCTTAATTATAAATGTTACTGAAATATGACAAGAACAAATGAATAATTGTCAAACTTTTATTCTGCCAAATGAGTGTGCAGTTGACAGTTTTAATATATGAAAAACACTGATATGATATGGAATAAAGGAGTATGTAATTAACAATTACAAGACAACATAACAGTATGTATAAAAATATCCAGCAAGTAGTAGAACTTATAATACAGAAAGTCAACTATACAGATACAACTTGACATGATGATAATTAGTTATTTTTTTCTCAAGGTCTCTTACCTGTTCACTCATAAATAGAAAACTGTTCAATTTTGCTTGGGAACTTTGTGCTCAGGTAAATGCTCATAACGGTGCACTCACCCCTGTTTTCTCTGTAGACCACTGACCTTGACCATGCAGATCTCTTCAGCATCAACCACCTGGTCTCTCCTGTTCCTCAATCACTTTCTTAAAAAAATCTTCATACATCCATCTAGCCAATAAATTGAAAAAATGTCTAATGCCTAAACAAATGCTACTATGCCATTTAGTTTTCACTCACAATAATTGAAACAGCCATTGGTGAATAAATGGGACAGAACATGGAAAACTGTTAGCCTAATATCGTCTATGTTTGGTTGCTCATGATGATGGCATTTTCCATAACATCACATTAAGCTGCCAAAATTTACGTTAAAGATAAACGAGTACAATAGTACAATATCTCCTTTCTTTCCCATAAGTAAACATGGGAAATATTAAGCAACTGACAACCCACATGGAAAGAATTCATATAAACATATAGGTTTTAGTATATGTTTGATATAGCTTTTGAATATATGTGACATATATATAAAACTGGCTGTTTTCTATTTTATAGATAAATATATGTACCTATAATCAGTGTTGGGAGTAACGCGGTAAAAAAGTAATTAATTACTGTATTGGATTGCTTTTTGCTGTAATGTGGTAATGTAAGGCATTACAGGGAAAGAAAATGGTAAAATTTACTCTGTGCAATTGTCAGTAACGCAGTAATTACAATGCATTTTTAAACCCAGAATCAAGATGTGGGTTTCCTAAAAATACAAATTGCGGGAAGCCTGAAAAAAGATCCAGTATCCACATATATTACGTCATTTATGGACTCAGCTTTGCGGGCATTCTATGAGCAGAGAGGGCGCAGCGGTAATGGCTCATATACTCCAGCTACATCCTGAATGCTTTGTTATTCCAACCAGACACAGAGTCAGAGGTGAAAGAGAAAGGAAAAGACAAAAGGTGGGGAGAGAGGGGGGAAGGGGGGGGGGGTCCACAAAAATAAACAATAATGAACAATAGTCTGCTTCTAGACCTGCAGAAAGAGACAAGAAAAAAAAGCAAAAAAATAAAAATAAATAAAAAATGGGGGCACAACAAAAATACAACAAGATCAAGCTATCACTGCATCAACTTGATGAAGAAATATATAATCAACATTGTTTAACTGAACAATCACACAATAATAAATCACAGTGCATTAACTGCCCACCATAGTCTTAAGACCTGCGTCGAACGTGCCCAAGCCCATACTTTTGAGAGCACCATGTGAGCACCTGTGTGTGTACACGTGCTTGTTTATTTAAGGTTTCTCTATAGGAGCGTCCAACAGACAGTGTGAGGGACCACAGATCTGCCCCCCAAAGATGTGTAGGAGATGGGAGGAGCTCCAAGTCCCAGAGATCCAGGCGCTGCCCCAGAACACAGGAACCCCAAGGAGACTGCAACCAGAAAGGCCCCCGCCCCCCTCGAGAGGCACAGAGGATCGCCCCGGGGTGCCACAACCAGCAGCCGGCAGAGTCCCCGGATATATCAGCGGCAAGCCCACAGGCCCACCCGCAGCCTCCCACCCCCTAGCCGGCCGAACCCGGGACCCAGCGACCCGGGTCCCAGGAGCGACCACCCCCGCCGGGGACCCAGCAGAGCCCAGGGACCCAGACCCCACCAGGCAGCCACCGGGATTGATCAGGCAGACGCCAAAAATCATAAACCCCCTGACCCGGGAGCCACAAACACTCAGGCAGACCAAGGCACCACACCCCACACCAGGTGTGGCAGGGGGAGGGGAGACGAAGATCTATATTATCAAAAGAAGTCCCAGGAGAGGGGAGGAGTCAAAGGCCCCACCTGACATATACAGTCATACACAAACACAGTCACACACTCCCTCCCTCATGCTCACACATGCACATACAACCCAAGACTTACAAAAATGCACGCCAGACACCCACTCATGCTCCCCATACACACTCTATCCACTCTGGTCCCGGTACTGCTGCACATTGGGTACAACCATCACTGGTTACCAGAGTTTGACCCTTTCTGCTGGGGTGCTGATGAGCAGGCTTCCCCGCCTAACGCCAAGCACAGCAACCCACCACCCCAGACCCCAACCAGATGGCCAGATCTCCCTCCTAGCCTCCAGCCCCAGGAAGCCAAGCGACAACAGAGGTGTGCTAAGACCTCTAGTCTCCCTCCGCCTGCTCCAATATGGTGTTAGTGAATGTTGATGAGGTGTATTCCATGGCTGTGGTGAGTGGGCAGTGCGGGCATCGTCTGGCCTATGCCAGCTGATGCCACCACACCTCCCCACTTGCACCCACAGACCTCAGTGTCTAAGTGCAGTTTAAAATTGGGAGTGGGCACCGGCACTTGGGATGAGGCTGAGAAATCCCCCTGACAAATGCCGTTGGATGTGCTCACTCCCAAGGCCCTAAGTGTGTGTTTGCATGGAATGTCGTTGGTGGAAGTGTTTAAAGGAGACATAACATGCTTTTAAGTTATTCCTTTTTACATCTAAATCCTTCAGTTGGGGGTCTAAAAACAGTGGAACTGCAGTTCTTTGGTCTGATTTCCTCATTATTGTTGCTCTACAGACCCTCATCTACCCCTGTTCTGAGGAGAGTCTTGAGAACGAGCCGTTTTGGGGTACTGTCTCTTTAAACTGGAGGAGGAGCTGTAAACTCCGCCCCCCTCCATAGTGCAGTCCTGTACTCTCCTCCCCCAGTCGGACTTTGTAGTTCTATAGAGAAATCATTATTTAGCATAGCAGATTTAGCATAGCATATTAGCATTTTTAAAACACGTGGGGAGAGTAGTTCATCAAGCTGTTTCATGGCTGCTAACTCTCTCATGCATTTGTCTGTAGTCACTCACACACACCCGTCACGGCCGACGGAGGGACAAGCGAGCAGGCACACGCGCGCGCGCACACACACACACACACACACACACACAAGGAATGCTGCTTGCTTATTTCTGTAAAAAATGTTTAAAAAAATGATACAGCTCATTAAAACACCATTCAAAGAATATATTTTATTAAGATCTCTATCTATATACATACATATAATTATAAATAATTTTATAAGAAGTCTTATTTAATATTGGGTGTCTTAATGGCTGAAAATGGATAAAAAGCAGTTACATTTTAATTTAAAGAGTTGAGATTCTAGTCAAAAATAAAGAACATTCCTCCAAGTGTTCTTTAATGTCATCATTATAATTCTAATGCTTACAACTGTTTTTATTGTCTGCAATGCGTAGCCTATATCTTTATTAAATGTGTTTAGCTGTAAAGTGGTAATTCTAATGTGTACAGAGAGGTGGACATCAGTGCTGCAGTGAAATTCCCAAGATCAGTCTGCTTTGCTAACAAATATAGTTAAATCTTACCTGCATTCTAAATAAATACCGTTAGGTGAAAACATCAGTAGGCATTGAGTTATTGATACAATCCCTAACAGCCAGAATGGAAGAAGAGCATGCTGGGTCATCCTGGACCTGAGCCTGTTCTGTGTATTTACCTACAGGATGCAATAAATGTCTACAAGGCTGAGTTTGGACCATTACATCTAAAAGAAAGCATACAATCAGTGATTTTTTTTATTGTTTACATTAATATACAAATTTTCTAAGTATTAACCTCACAGCAAATAAGTAGAACAATATAATAAACAGGCTTTAGTAGTTAAAACAGGCGTTGTGCACACAGGTGCTTTGTGTCTCGGTGCTGGTGGTGTCTAGGTCTCAGAGTTCCTGTCCTCCTGCCGTCTTCTGTTGTCCTCAGGATACGGATTGATGTTTCCTGATGATGAGGGAGGGGCAGTATGTGGGCTTCAAACTGGTCCTGGACAACAGTGGGAGACCTCCGTTGTCTGAATACTGAGACCAGAGAGTTGGTGAGATGCAGATCTTCTCTACCTCATCTAGAAACGGAGTTGGTTCAGGGAAAACTTTTCCAAAGACCAGTTCCATGATGTCATCGTCATATTCTGCAATGATAGACAATAACTTTAATGACATATTTTGTTTACAAGCAGCTTTAGGAAAGTTGTTTCTTTAGCTTTCATGTTTATAGTCACGTTTGTGTTTGTTCACAAGTTCACTTTGCTGCAGTGACTTCATATTTTCCTACAAATGTAATAAAATAGTGACACTAAAATTATACAAATGATTCCTTATGAAAGGAAGCTCATTAGAGAGCAGTGCAGACAGACTTACTACATGCTGCAGCTGTTGTAGGCCAGCTGCTGCTGAATTTGGGGAAAGTTATTCTGCACACATCCAGATCAGATGGTCGATTACAGAAAATAATGTAATTCAATAATTTCTAAACAGACTAAACAAGTAAAACATCAAATAAATCACTCTGCTGTCATCAGACGGAGTGATTCAGGGGGTGAGGTGTTCTTAATGATGAGGGTGGCTGAGGTGTGTCATCACTCACTTTGGTCTGGTCCAGACCGTCTCTTTACTGGTGGGTCTCCTTCCTCAGTAGGTGACGTGAAACGCCAACATCTGAACGTTCTGTGTTCCTTAGAGGAGAAGAAAAGTAACATTAGCAAGCTGGCTAAATTATTTTTTACTAGCATCTCAAGGACTTGGAGAAGCAGATCTTCACTTACCTAAACATCAGACCAGTTTGTCCCAGCTGAGCTCATCAGGGCGTCTGACAGCCTGTCAGTGAAACACGGCTCCAGTCTTCTGGATGTGGACTCTAAAAAGCAAAGGAACATTTTTACTTTGTTTTAATTATTTTACAGCCAATTTTATCAGCTTTCCGACGCTCACGCTCATACAGACGGTGAGCTTTGCTGCGTCTGACTGATGCAGAGTTAGTTTTTATATCTGCAGTGAGACAAAAACTAACCTCACTTCACTTAGAGATCGTTCTTTAAAACTCTATTAAATCCACTGTGTTGACGCACTTTAATGACTTTGTCACGCTGCATTTTAGCTGATATGGGACTTTATTTACTGGATGCTAAGATTACATCACACTCATGTAGAATAACACACAGGCTCTCTGCTGTTACAATCAGTGGGAGGTTATCATCTGGTGTAAAAGAAGGCGTTGATCAGAAATCACGTTTTATTCCACGAAAATCAGCCAAATCCACATTAATCTGGGTGCTAACTTTACTAGCATACTGTGCTAGCGATAGCAAGCCGGATGCTAACGCTTTAGTGCTGCTAATGCCCGTAAATCTAAAGTAAAGTTTGTCGACATTTTAGAGTGATATGAAGCTTACCGCTCTGCTGCTGTGTCCCGGTGCTGCCAAATTCAGATGGAAATAACTCCTTTTAGATAGATGAAGCCCTCAGTACTTAGCCACTAGCCTGGAGACAGAACGAACGAACCACGCGCGCGCGCGCGCACGCACACACACACACAAACAAACAAACGCAAACACACTACTTTTTCTTCTGTGTTTTTTTTTAGCAGTAGTGTCATCAGCTCCTAGGTTTAAATACTGCCACACCACCCTTCCTTAAAACGAGGAACAGTTTTGAGCTGTGTGTGGCTAAAATAACCAGACATTCTGCATTTTTCCAATAGGACTACAAAAAATCTTAGCGAGAAGAAAAAATGGCGGATTGGCTCTGTGTTTAGCCGAGGGCCATTACCATATTTGGTAGTTATCCTCACTAAATTAATTACTGATGTAATAGATAATGTAAAAACTGAACGGGTGGACAAATATGCCCAAAACTTAATTATTAAATATCTAAATAGCAACTCCAGTGAATAATATAAGCCTTTTTGCTCACTTAGACACTTAAAATGTGAAACACACCGTGTTAATGGATAAAAAAGTGGGTTTTTCATGTTATGTCTCCTTTAAGGTGCAGATACAAGTGGGGGGCAGTTGCCACAGGAATGCGGAGTTGGGGTCCATACCCGAACTTCCTGACTTGTCCACCCCCAAGGTCCTATGTGCATGTTTGTGTGATGATGTGAGGGAGCAGGAGGAGAGGAATGTGTGGGGATGGGGAGGAATAGCTGGTTGGGCTTAGCCCTCCAGGGAGCCAGCTCCCTCACTGGCCCCAATAGACACCTCTGTTGTCGAAATGCCACCCAGAGCACGGAGACCCCAGCCCATCCTGCCAGGGCCCAAAGCAGCAGCATCACAGAGCCTCACGGAGTCCGAGGGCACCAACCCAGCCCCACCCAAGCAGAATGTCTATGCCTATCCCTGCATTTGCACAACTTATGGACTATAAAAGACATAGGACATCCAGGTAAGGTTAGGTCCTCCCCCTCCTGGACTTCCCCCTCCCCTGTGATGGGACAGCAGAGGAGCGATGGTCTACCCGAGGCCCCTGAACCCGAGTGAGGCACTGCTGCATGTTCCTGCCTTCTGCCTCGGCAGCATACATGTTTGGTTGATGCAAAAAGTATATCTATTTTTCCAATTCAAGAGGATAGTTTTCTTAACGATGCATATGGCAGTCAGAACCACGTGAGCCAAAGATGTTTCAATCAGGACATCGTCCAGGTTTCCCAGTAAACAAAGAGGGGGTGGTTGGGATATGACATTTCAGAGACTTTGACAGGTCTTCACATACTCTACCCCAAAATTCCTGGACAGGTGGACAGGACCACAGTGCATGACTTTGCTGGACTTGGTTCCGTGTTTGAAATGTGTTTTCCAACTGCTTCTCAAATGTTTAGCGCTCCTTACTAACTGCATCCCAACATGGTCTACTGATAAAACAGGAGACCTGCAGCCTCTGGGAGTTGAAACAACTTGTTTGTGCAAATCAACACATCATACCAGAGCTAATTCAGTTGTGAACATTATGTGCACTATCCCTGTGTGTGTGTGTGTGCGTGCGTGCGTGCACGCGCACGCACGCACACACACACATGCAAGCGTGTTGTGAGCTGGTGTTTTGATTTTGCACTACTTAAATGTAGTCATCCTTACGCTGACAAAAAGTAACAGCGTTACTTTTAGTTTGAGTACATTTTATTCACGATACTTGTTACTTTTAATTGAGTAAAAATTTAGGCAAACAGATTTACTTGCACTTGAGTAAAAATCATCTAAGTATTGGTACTTGTACCTAAAGTATCTTTGCGGAGTATTTCAGTAATTCGATGCCACCATCTAGTGGCTGACAAGCACATCACACAAAAAGTCTCTCAATCAGTTTTTTATCGCAACTTCACGTTTCTTGTTTATAAATGTGCTTCTGTAGCCGACAAACAGAGCTAAAACACGTTTTACAAGTATTCTCATGTCAATTTTATTTCTCACATATTTATATTTTAAAGACTTATTTGTCTGTGTAAAGTTCATCAAATCTGCATCAGCTGAGGTACTTCCTTAAATTTAAAGCACGTAATCAGTAGTCTAACGCTATTGGTTAGTTCTGGTCGGTGCTCAGTTTCCTATTGCACTTAGCTCTGTGGGGCGGGGGGCGTGTTAAAAAAATGACGTATCGCTTATATTTTATCACAGTACATGATACGATAATCACTTTTACGGATTTCTGAAAAATCATACATAATTTCTGAAAGGGGAAAACTACGGAAAGCTACTTTAAATTGTAATTTTTAGTACTCTTTCCACTTCTGGTTAGAGATAGTTTGTCCGTTGCAGACCTGGGTACCCATTACCTGGTAATGGGGTGGGTCGGCTTTCTCTCCACATAAACAGAAAAAGATGGTCAGCCAGGACAAATGCTCGCTGAAACACAAACGTCCCCAAAACAATTTGCAAACAATACCATTGTGACTTTTATGAACCAAGAGAAAAAGTGTTCTGTGAGTTTTGTCAGCACATGGTTAACTCAAAAAACACACGGGACCGCTTACAGTCAGACCCATCAGGAATGAAGAAACAAGCTAGTAGGAGCCAGGAATGCGACAAAGTCAGGAAAAACTTGGAAAAGCTCTGAATGTTCTGCACAACTACAGCATTTAGTTGGTAAAAGCTCTTTGTGCAACTAGACTAAACTTGCTGCATGTTCAGACACACTAAGCGCATGTCAGCAATGCTTTTCACTATATAGACGTGTATTTTTGATTGTTTTCACAAGCAGAAAATAGCTAAAGCACTTTCATTTTCAATATGAGAAACCATTTCCTTTTCCCATTGGAAATGTTATGATCAGAAGCTCTAATAGTGTATCAAAGACTATCCTTTATATCTTGCTGACAGTGCACTGTGCAATCTCTCACTCTAAAGAGTATATGGTATGCATTGATCCAGTTGAATCTGCTGAAAATAGGAGGCATCCCCTCTGGCCACTCTCTGCTTGACACCTTTCTAAATTTGAATTGCTGCAAGACTGTGCATGTAGTGCATATAAAACATTGCTTTACTACCCAAGAGACTGCATATATTTTCAGGTAATTGGGTAATGGGAGCCACATCTGAGGTAGAGAATGTAAGCTGTCAGCCTTGCCAGAAAGACTAGATTCTTTTGTAATCTTCTGGTGGGGAGGAGAGGTGTGGTGCAGCTGGATGTCATCCAAGCAGTATAGAGCGGAGCATGTGTGTGTTTGCCAAGGGAAATTACTGTGTACCCATGGTCTGTGACAGTGCCACCAAAAACTGATCTTCAATCAGCCATCTCCTCCCATAAAAGATTATTGTAGAGGAATTTTTTGCAGAGCTTTAATTGCCAGGGTCTACAGCATGTCAGAGTCCTTTAAGGAGCGTGTTGCATGAAGGATACACCATAAATTCTGTAAAAAAAAATCTGCATATGTGATTTATTTGACATTTTAGGATTATTTTTGGCTTGAGTATTAGTAAGGAGGCATTCAGCTGTATTGTTCTGTGCCATTTTTTGTAAACACAGTATGTTTGTGTACGAGTGTAAAAAGCAGTGGGGCCTCATTTATTAAGCTTGCTTATGCACAAAACGGGGTTGGAAAACAGCGTAAGCAACTTTCCAAGCAAATCTTGGGATTTATAATAAAAAAACTTAGCGGACAAATGTGCTCAACTTTAAGTTGACTAAGGACCTTGCTTACGCACATTTTGGACATGGAGAGCACCTGCAGTGCCGCTGCTGAGAAGGATACATTTGTGAATTTCCAGCAGCATTATCACTTGTACCGCTTCATGCGCACACACGCTGGTGATGAGCTACAGTGTAGCCACAGCTGCCCTGGGGTGCACTGACGGAAGCGAGACACAGGTGCCACCGGTCCCTGTGACCACCAGCAGGCAAGGTGAGTTAAGTGTCTTGCCCAAGGACACAACAGCAGCCTTCTCTGGCAGGAGCCAGGATCAAACCTGCAACCTGCCGATTACTGGACAACCCGCTCTACCTCCTGAGCTACTGCTGTCCATAATACCTATGTATTAAGGACGTTGGACTTTTTTATAAGCTAAAATATACTTGAGGGGGAAAAGAAAAAGGCTTGGAAGAGTCCATTTAACAGTCCATAGAAAGACTTTAGAAGATACTTGAAGTCTACAGGTCATACACACTAACAAAAAAAAATTGTGCATCTAAGCCAGACATCACAAAGAACTTGAGACATCCTTATTAAAAAGCAGTATTTGTTTGTGGCTCTGTCTAATACACACTGATAAAGGTCAATTCTTGCCTTCCTTTTCTTGAGCTTCCTTATTAAAAGGAGTGTGTCTTCTGGATTACCCTTTATTTACTCTTTATGACCTTGATTGCAAGTCTACCTTTTGTAAGGTACAGTTTGAAAAAATATACCTTTGTTCTTCAGCAACTGTTGTAATTCAAATTCTAGCTTTGAATTTCTTATCATAAAAGGCTAATTTTACTGCCAGTTAGGAACAGCGTGTTGCCGTTTACCAAGCAAATGATAGATTGTTTATAAGGAGCCATTCACGAGTTAGTTTCATATGTTGGGGGCAGAAACTGGACGGATCTGGAGTCATACTCATTAATATTCATGGTACACAATTATCTCGCTTATGATTTGCTAACAGCAACTTTCTCAGATAAAAACAATTATGTTGATGTTCTATCTAAACACATAACACAAGTCTAAATGTGTTCCTCAGTGTTGGAGTTGCTACTTCCATCGGTTAACTTCTACTAGCCGAGACGCTCCCTGCTCTCTCCATGGAGCGCAGACATCAACAGTCTTCTGTAGTTGCAAGCTAAGGTAGTTGAGTCCATGAATGTAAATTTCATCGTGTGACAGATCTGTCTGGCCTTTTCTGACCCAAGCATTTCCCCATCTATTTTTTCTTTCAGCAGCTTACCGTCTCCTCCCTTTTTGGTCAGCTCATGGGTCCCCTGACCATAGACTCTCCCAGATGGACGTGACTTAGACTCCCTATGCAGAAAATGGGGGTCGAATAATGTTTTCACATCCGTCATGCATGTGCCCCTTAGAAAGATTGATTGTGTTTCAAACATTTTAAGCATTACATAGCTTCTCAGTGAATTGCGTTTTAAATTA